CCGTTAGATCCTTATTCCTGCTAACTATTGGCATTTGTTTCTTATTTCAGTATCCCCATAAATGATGGGCGTTCTTATTATGGGTCATTTAATTAATTAAGTGATTTTGGACTTTCACCAACCGCACAAAATCTCGCGAAGTAAGGCTTCGTGTTTATCATCCTTAGGTAAAGGCTTGGCACTCTAATTAACTTTCAAAACTTCTTCGATAAGTGACAATCGGGCGATCTTAGGTCAAGGGCATAACCAAACTTCAAATAAAACATTTTTGAACACTTATTGCTAATTGCAATAATTATTTTCCACTGTTTCCGAAATTCTTCCCTTCTTCCTTGATAACGGAACATCTAAAGTTGTCGTCCGACAACGCGGAATCCGTTACAAAATCACTAACATTTTCGCAGTCCCGCCAAATTTCTCTCGCTTTTCGATTATATTTAAACTATAGTTATTTTAAATAAAACCCTACGAATTGTGATACTTTTCTCTTAACGCTAGAAGTCAGAAAACTTTTGTTTTATTTTAACCTATAGAACCTTTTTTAATTAATTTCCGCAACGAATTTGTAAAATCACTGCAACAAGTCACATGGATGGATACGGATAAAAAAAATGATTTTGATGATTTTTGATACTTTGATTGAAAGAAGATTCTCGAAAAACTAACTGAAGAAGTTAGAAAAACTTGGAAATTTATTGAAATATATTTGTTAGATTCGTTCAATGTTTATTGTAATCGCAGCAAATCGGAATGTCTTTAATAATCAACCCATAATAATACCCGTAATTAAATCATGGTGCAATTTGTAATTTCAGCACTTCAACGTTATTTCAGATTTTAAAAAATTGTGCCAACTTTCAATCATACGATAGCTTACCAACCGCGGAGTATAACGACGTTTTCTCTATCGATTCCCATAACAGCTTTTATTTGGACTCCTATCCAAAAATGATTGCTACAAATACTTACTCAATCAGCGGAAGTATATCGAATCGGAGTGCTTCGAGCGATGACTCTTGGCTCGATAATAATATACTTGAGGAAAATGGTCGAATTTCATTAGCATATGAAAATTTAAAAACTATACCTCGACGGATAGCGGAAAAATATGCTATGCAAACAAAATTTTTAGATTTAAGTTACAATAATTTTCAAAATCTATCCTTCTTATCATTTTTCGAAGACTTGCATACATTGATATTGGACAGAAACAGCAATTTGGATGTTAACACATTACCATTCTTGCCGAACTTGAAGATTTTGTGGTAAGATCATATATGTGTTGTATAGTATATGTTGCATATATGTTGTCGACTGTATGTTGTATATATGGGCATATATCATATGCACCTTTAAACGAGCTTGTGAAGAATTTCTCATTTTCATCTATAATATCTAGAAACCATGAATCACTTAACGTTATCCTCGGCTTTACAGCATACTTTCTTCTTATAATTTCATGTTAGACCAACTAAACCGAGTAGCTTTGAAAGACTAACCTTTGCTCATCATTCATTTCACTCAGTCTTTTATACATGATTCTATAAAAATTTTTTTTTCTTATGCTCACTAACGACTAACGATTATTATAAACGAAATGAGAAAAATTGTACGTTTTGCTTCCTTTCTTAAATGTACCCACTAACCCACCGCACATAGTAAACACTTTAGAGCATTTTTTTTTTTTTTTGTACTAACTTCCCATCTTCAGCAAAGCAGATTAAGTTTGATTTGAAAATGCTTTTAAAGGATGTGTAACATGTCGTCTCTTTCTTCAATACATATTTTAGGATTAACAATTGCAATATTAAAAATGTTGTTGACTGGATACATCGCATACGTGCGCAGTGCCCAACACTGGAGCACCTATCGATTATGGGAAATCCGGGCATTAAAGAATCATTCAATTACTGCACTCTAAATATGTACGCTTCTGCTATCTCGGCATTAAACACAGGAGACATTGATACGTTAATAATGCAGCCCGCAAACACTGCAGTCGATTACCGAGAATACATCCTGGGGATGCTGACAAATTTGGAGTATCTTGATGGGACGCCACGAAATACTTTATTGCTAAGCACATCCGGTAAAATTAACGCTAACGGTCGTATACCTTCTTCGCCAACTACTTCCTTAAGCAATGGATCCTCCTCTCAAAGTCAATGCAGTAATAATGGCAATAACGAGCGCCAGCGTAAAATTTCACCAACTCTTAGTTTCAAAGGTATATTTCGAATGAAACGACGCAAAATCTCTTACCCGAGCTCATCCACAAACTGATTTCACAAGAGAAAAAGATATGAGGGTATAATGACTACAATTTAAACATTTTGAGACATAATTAAAGGCATCTGCGTTCATTAAATCAATGAAAGGAACCACCTAGCAACTGATCATCGTGTTTACCATCATCCCTTCTTATCATGTTTTTCAATTGTTGTGTGCTGTTAATTGTGAATAGTTGCAAAAAGCAATTCAGTATGCTTTACTATGTACCCAAGCAAGCGTTTGCAGCGATAAACATGTTTGTTTTTTTTCTCTTTTTTTTGTGGTATTTAAAGAAACAAAAACACACCCATTTCCATATTAAAGACTTAAATTAATAAATATAATTTTAAAAACTTATGACATTGTAACTAAATGCTTTGGTTTTTCTATTTATTACATTGATTTGACGTCCAAATTTGCAAATGCACCTTCCAAAGCATCAATGAGTTCCTCATTGTTTTCTATGGTTGATCGTTTCGCTGTGAGGACACTAGTTTGGTTCAGAGCCCATTGTGCCATTTTTTGAGCTTCCTTACGTTTTGTACCCACCGCGCGAGAATTGGCAATCATAGTGCAGCACTAAAAAGAAGAGCAGGAACCATAGCAAAGGATTAATGTTTTATTGTTTTTTTTTTCTTTTTTTAAATTTATCCATTTGATAATAAGAAAGAAAAGTTGAAATAAAGAAAGATTTTTATACCCCGTTCGCCAGAATAATATAACGATATGCATGTCTTTAGTTTAGGTACGCCTTAAGCGCTTCCCGATAGTTTGCATTGAAGCTTGAGCTAAATCGTTCTGAATTTTATTTGAATGAATATTCATTGAAGACAATACTATCCTTTATACTTTCTACAAACAGCATGGATTAAGAATTGTGTTTGCTTTGAAAGCGGAGTTTTTTCCTATTGTTACCCAATTTCAAATACGTACTAAAATATATTAAATATATGCTTCGAGATCAAAAAAAGAATCTTGTAGTGTAATTTGACATAAATTATTCTATCCTAAATCTATTCTATTTGAAAATCTAACTGCCCGATGTGAGACTTAGTTGTTACTAAAAATGACACTTAACTCTAAATCGTATTGAAATTCAATATAACATCACTTACCAAATAAAATCCGTACAAAGCTCTCAGGTTCTTAGGATTAAGTTTAATGGCTTGTGAAAAATATGTTCGCGCAAGTTCTATGTTGTCCATACCTCCCTTTAAAGAACAGCAAGAAAAAGAAGAAATTTTAACACGATCTTAAATAATCTTTTGAAATTCATCTTTCTCTTCTAATAATTCTTCAATATGCTAATAATTAAGTTTAGATAATTTAGATATAAAATACCTATTGACCTCTTTAGTAATGTACTCGTAAAGATAGGTAGAGTGTGTATAATATGAAATTAAGTTGTAATAAGAAATATTACGTATTTTCCAAATACGTTATTACGACAAGTACACATTAATAATGATAAAATTTTATGAGAAAACCGGACGGAAAACGGATGGGCGGATCATGACTTATTCGTCATACACAATTAAATGGTTATATACTTGATTTTGCATTTCCAAATAACAAATATTAATAGTAACTGTAGTCAGATCGCATTCAAATTTTCGATGGATCCAGACGGAGTTTTAGGAATAAAAGAAGAAAGTAATAAAGTTGAATAAATGTTTACCATAGTGTAACGTATTTCCGCCAGTCTTTGATGTATTAGATGACTATGAGGATTGTGCAGTAAAACTTCTTCCATACAAAAGGCTGCTTTCGCATAATCACCTTCCGCCAAATACAAATTGCATAATTCCTGCCAGGCCTCTTGATCTGACATAAATCTGAAATGATAAAGAAAACATTAAAATCACACGCTACACGAAAGCAAATACAACGACTCCGCATGCATTTACTTCTTTAAATATTCATTTAACTCCTTTATTGCCTCGATCCGTCGGCCCTTCGCTTTTAATATAGCTACCTTTCGTTTTCTGGGTGCTGCATTAGTTTCATCTTTGGCAATAATAGCGTCTAGAACTTCTAGTGCATCATTATAGCGTTCCATTGCTTCCAAACGCATAGCCTTAAATTTCATAACTCGAAGGCTTCCGGGGAATTCGGAACTGAGCTCTTTTATGCATTTCCCAGCAATATCGAAACGGGCAGTATCCAAAGCAGCAACAATAACTTGTTCCAAAATCAAATTTTTCTCATTACCAGTTTTTATCACCTTATCTTCAAGAACTGCTTCCCACAGCTGGATAACGTCATCACTTCGGCGTTCATTATCTTCTCGCCATTTGCGAAAATAATCACGCACATCTGTAAGACACATAAGAATTCTGTTATTTGAAAAGCATTGACGACACATGAGTGTTTAATAAGTACTGCTGCACGGAACACTCCTATAATGAAAAACCATTATGCCATTTTACCTTTCCAACACATCTCCTCATAATTCAAGGACATTTTCTTAGTCCAAAGATTCCTTTCAAAAATTGTAATAGTTTTCCTGCTGATCAATTTTGCTCTAGTTATTTATTAAATATGCGGACAGTGTTACCCTTTTTATCGAATGCGAAAGTTACTGCTAGAAATGATACTAGAAACGTCACGATTTTCTCAATGAGTATAATTTAAAAATTGACGATTTCATTTTGCACATAATGTATTTTGCTCATGCACATATTAACATACAATCGAAAACGGATACAATGAGACAGAGAAGAATTAATTAATTAATGGAAAATATACGATTAACGAAGACATGAATTTTCAAACAAAAACCAGAGATGTATAAACATGGTATTACGATTCTTAAGGGTTGGCAGCTCTAAATCATATTTCTGTTCATCTTTTTTGTCATTCTCCCGCCAAATTTAGTCGTGTTTGAGTTTTGTGTAAACGTGATGTTGCTTCTCAATTTGTTGTGCGTTGTTTCAAGAAATTTTATTCAAAATTATTTTCAATATTATTAAATTCAAAGTATAAAATATTTCAAGTTGAAATGGTAGACGCCGAACAATATATTAAAGACATACAAAGGGAATTTGTCGATTTTCTTGACGATGAAGAAGATCAAGGCATTTATGCTGGTCATGTTAAAGACATGATCGGGGAAAAAAGTCACCGGCTAATTGTGAATATTAACGATTTAAAACGCAAAAATCCACAGCGAGCGCTTGGGTTGTTAACAAATGCTTCAGATGAACTTTTAGCTTTTGGCAGAGCACTTAAGGAGTATGTATCTACTGTGGATCCGACTTACGCCAAGGGATATGAAGATTTTTTTGTGGGATTTGAAGGTTGTTTTGGCAATCGTCATGTAACACCTCGTTCGCTAACTTCAACGTGAGTTGTTTTAAACGATCTTACCAGACATAGGTTAAACAATTTATTTTCAAAATTTCATTCGACAACAGGTATCTTGGCAATTTAGTTTGCGTTGAAGGTATTGTAACGAAAGTATCACTAATTCGTCCAAAAGTTGTGCGTTCAGTGCATTATTGTCCGGTAACGCGTAAGGTCGTTGAGCGAAAGTATACGGATTTAACTTCGTTTGAAGCCGTACCTTCTAGCGCGGTTTACCCGACGAAAGATGAGGATGGCAACTTGCTGGAAACCGAGTTCGGCCTGTCAGTTTACAAAGATCATCAATCTTTGACTATTCAAGAGATGCCAGAGAAAGCACCGGCCGGTCAATTGCCACGATCGGTGGATATAATTTGTGATGACGACTTAGTGGATCGCTGTAAACCCGGAGATCGAGTGCAAATCGTAGGAAATCATCGTTGCTTGCCTGGTAAACACGGGGGTTACGCTTCCGGAATTTTCCGTACAGTGTTGATAGCTAACAATATATCGTTGCTGAGCAAAGATAGCAATTTGGATATTAGTCGTGAAGACATAGTTCTTTGTAAAAAATTTGCAAAGAACGCTGATATATTTGAATTACTTTCTAAAAGTTTGGCCCCTTCTATTCACGGAAATGCCCACGTGAAACGCGCGATTCTGTGTCTGTTATTGGGTGGGGTGGAAAAAATTTTGTCTAACGGTACTCGCTTGCGTGGTGATATTAATGTTCTTCTTGTTGGGGATCCAAGCGTGGCCAAATCACAAATGTTACGCTATGTTTTGAATACGGCTCCTCGTGCCATACCAACAACTGGTCGTGGTTCTAGTGGAGTTGGTCTGACTGCTGCTGTTACAACCGATCAGGAGACCGGGGAAAGGCGTTTAGAAGCAGGTGCTATGGTTTTGGCTGATCGGGGTGTCGTCTGTATTGATGAATTTGATAAAATGAGCGACATCGATCGCACTGCAATACATGAAGTTATGGAACAAGGCCGAGTGACTATATCCAAAGCAGGTATACATGCTTCTCTTAACGCTCGCTGTTCGGTTTTGGCAGCTGCAAATCCTGTTTACGGCCGTTACGATCCATATAAGACACCCATGGAAAATATAGGTTTGCAAGATTCATTACTTTCGCGTTTTGATCTGTTATTTGTTATGCGCGACGTAATTGATAATGATATTGATCAGCTAATTTCTGACCATGTGGTCAGAATGCATCGATATCGGAATCCAAAAGAGGCCGATGGTGAGCCTCTATCCATGGGAAGTTCGTATGCCGACTCGCTATCATTTGCATCAAGCACCGACACTAAAAAAGATACCGAAATTTATGAAAAATATGATTCATTACTTCACGGTAAATCTCGGAAGCGACATGAGAAAATTTTATCTGTAGAATTTATGAGAAAGTATATACACATTGCCAAGTGCATGAAACCCAAGCTGAGTGAACAAGCTTGCGAAGTTATATCGAATGAATATTCGCGCCTACGATCGCAAGAGGAGGAGCAACCCCATGTAGCACGGACTCAACCTATTACAGCTCGTACTTTAGAGACGTTAATTCGTTTAGCAACGGCCCATGCTAGAGCCCGTATGTCTAAAACAGTAACAGCTGATGACGCCCAAGCCGCCATTGAACTTGTACAATTTGCATATTTTAAGAAAGTTTTAGAAAAAGAGAAGGCAAGCAAGAGACGTCGTGCTAGTAACGCGAACTCTTCGGACGAAGAGGGTGAAGAAGGCGGTGATAGGCGGAGAACATCGCCGGTTCAGCGCAGCAAACGGACACGTATAGGTCGCACTCAAGATTCTACTTCCCTTGTCGATGATGGTAGCGATCATGATATAGAGACTCCACAGCCAGACGCTGGGGATTTAACACGGCGTGATACTAGACAGGTTTCCACGGCACGCAAATCGCCAACAAGTTCATCTGATATCCAAACCGAAACGGCGTCAACGGAAATGTCAACAATGCCAGTTTCAGTGTCTATTACGGAGGATCGTTTAGGTCGTTTTAAAAATAGCCTGCAACGACTTTTCCGCGAGGCGCGCGAGCAAAGTCTTAACTTACAACGCATTACAGCTGCTGTTAACGACAACAATCCAGAACCATTTACAAAAGAAGAAATTGAAGCCGCCATTCATCGCATGACCGAGGACAACCAAATCATGATGGCCGATGAAATTGTGTTTCTTATTTAATTCACTTATCAGTCCTGCATGTAAGATCAATGGATGCTTTCCACTGATTCTCTTATATCGTTTTAATGAAAAAATTTAATATAATTTATGGAAAGTCAATATTTAAACAAATATGCGCGATCATAAACCAACCTAGTATTATGTTTACCCAGACCGATAAATAGCAGAGCTTTCTTATTCAAGATCAAAATAAATGCTTCTATAACTTTTTAGTGGCGGACGTCTGGTAAAAGGCTTAAATTATCCAATAAGCGAAATACAACGACCACCATATTACACTCCAAATCAGGAATTTTTTTTTTTTTTTGGGTTAATATGGATTAAGCCAATAAATAGATGATTTATTTGATTTGTGAATACTACAGACATGGCATTCTTCGAAATTATGATAGATTTAACTTTTCTTGATCTTTTTGTGCAAGAAAATGTTTCTCTTCCTGAAATTAAGTTAAGTAATTTCGATGGACAAAAATTGTGGACCCCACAAGCCTAGTCGCGAATAAGCTTAACGCGTTTACTTAGAACCAAGAGTCAATCAATTTTAATTGATTACAAATACTAAAGGTGCAAGAATGGGATGCCTTGAGTTGTTTCTTAACTATCCATTCAATCTTTACAACTGTTCAATTTCAGCCATTTGACGAACGAACGATTTAAGTGGCATAACACTACAATGTTTTAAGATTCGCAAAAAAAAAAAACTAGAGAAATAAAAGAGTCTTTAAAGACATGCATATATTTTTTAATTTTACAATGTTATAAACGTTACATAAGTCTCTTGTATGTACTGACTAATCGTTAAGATACATTTATAAAAGTCATCTTATTTCCCAAACAGGGGTTGATCCTTCCACAGATTAAGGTTTAGTTCTTGTTGTATGATCGTTTGACAGCTCACCATCTTGTTCCTAAAGTAACAAGAAAAAATTTCATCTTGAAATTGTATACAAACATTTAAAAATGTTTACCTTCTAGAGGAAGAAACATAAACATTCGTTTGTATATAACTTATATTGTCGCCGTTCTTGCATATAAGGCCCGCTAAAGTAACTTTACGTATCTCAGCTAATTGTCCTGGAAAGTGAATATAGTTTAATTAAATGTTGTATGAATTCTCTTTAAGGTACTGTTACAATATTTCCTCTTTTCTATTATAAGATTCGTACCACTAGTAGATCGTGAATATCTTGGTCAAGAGAAATACACTTCAAAGTTCGTCTATTTACATTTATATTCCTTAAATATAGGATTATTCACAATTTATTTTTGGCAATACTTTCGACGGCTCAGCTAAAATTTTTTTTTTACTACAGCCCGCCCTCCCTTCCACAAATATTCTATTTTATATATATTTTTGCAACAGCATATTACTAGTATCTAATTTTATAGCTTCATTTATAATCCGTTAACATGTTTTTCTGGTACTCGTTTTCCTCGGCCAGGAGCTGTATGACGCGCTCCGAACATGCATTTGGTTTTTCCCCCTTTGGGGATTTTATTGTTTGGCTGGAATGAACTAGATTTGAGATTTCCGTAACAGTATTATGCTTGTCTTTTTGCCAACAAAGCGAGGGACCATTAAGAAAAACAATGCCATTTATCAGTCTTAGCGGTGGCCAGAGAGAAAAATTTTGCCAAAAGAAAATCTTTATTAATTAATAACTATAATAAATAAGTAGACTAACTACTTTCCATTTAATGTACCCAACAAAAAAAAAAAAAAAAACGGTTTTGATATAGAATTAATTCACTCTTACTCTTAAATAGGTTTACCTTGATTGAAGCCTCCGAATGAGTTGTCGTGTTCAAAGAAGAAGCGATCTGCCTTGCGGGTTTTTAGAAACTGTTTGCCGACTATGCATTGAAATGTGGGCCCAAAGATCGCTTCTGCAGCATGTGTTTCTAAAGAACCACCTACGCTTAAATCCACATCGTCGACCGAGTTGTACAATCTTCGCAAAATAGAGATTTTCTAAATCGATTTATGGTTAGATCAGCTAAGTTTGGGATACTTTAGAATACCTACTTTTAGGGATATTTCTTTACCAAAATCGGACCAGGTAGAGGCTCTTGCGAGACCACAATATTCTCGAAAATCATTATAACTCCGTACCCCAAAGTCCCGTCCACGCTGTATATCAAGCGCTTTTAAATCCGAACCAAAATCTTCAAAACCTTTTCTATTAAATCTATGTTTAATCTAAAAAAAAGAAAAAAAAAATTAATACCACACTCCAAATTCCAGCTAAACTCATAAATCATGCTTTGTATTGGACATACATCTCGATCGATGTTATCATCGGATCTTTTTTGCAGTTGCGTTATTAAACCCAGCAGGAGAGAATCGAAATTATTTCCGCTTTCAACCAAATTTATATTTTGTTCACGATCAAAATAATCGCTTAAGCGCATTGTTTGATTACGACGTGGATCAGAAAAGATCATACTATGTATAACAAATTTTTTAGTATATTAGTTAATTAATTAAAAGCATCGAATGAATTTTATAAAACTTACGTAAACCAGCCAGGAATCTGATGATGACTGTAACGAAAAGCCGCAGCAGCATATTCAGCATATGGAGCGGCATTCATGTACTCATTATAGTCATTCACATAATTTCCAGGGTATTTTACACGATGAAGAAGGCCGTTCTTGTACCCATATTTATGTCCTATCATCAAAGGCAACCAATCGTAATAAGTGATTTTCTGAAACTGCGCTATATTAATTTTTCGAGCTTCTTGAAAAATTCGTTCATCGGAATAGTGCGGATTGAGTCGAAGCAACAAATTAGCCAAACGATTGTGCTCTCTCACGAACAATGTATGTAAAATAATTAACGTAGGTATGAATTGATTTCGTTTATCTGGCATTACGTAGCAATATCGGTTTTGCGCCGGACACATAAAGTTTTTATTCGATTTGATGATAGGCAGAAAACGTTTTCGGTGGCCAACCTTAAGAAGGCCGTCCTTATAGAGGCGGACCTGTTTATTCTCGGATAATGAATTACCATAAATTGATCCCAGATCTAGAAAAGCGGTGGTAAAAGTGATTTTTTCTGCATAAATCGAATTATTTGATGAATGCCGGGAATCTTTATCGGAAAGACTGCGTGAAAAATTGAAACATGTTTGGTCAGAATTTAAGGCAATTGGATCAAGTGGATGCAATCTGATGGGATAGCACATTTTATTATTGAAATTTCGGCAGCAATCCGCTAAAAAGGTAACGTAAAGCATCCATAGTTTATGTATTACGTTTGCGCTTACCTGGCGCATCCTGATGAGTGAATTGACTTAAATCATGAGCAACCAGTTGTCCCCATTGCATGGTCATTAATGTACGGAAACTGTCTGCCATTGTGCTCTCGCCATACAACGATAACGACAAGCGGCGAGCGTTTGGCAGAAGGCTGCCTGTCACCGATCGGGTAGGCGCGTGAATTCCGTCGCTATAATTGGGTGGCAGCAAGCGCGAATATCTCGATTTAGTCATACCGTAATCCGGATAAAGAAAATTATTGCAAAAACCTTCATAGGTACGAAAATAATATGAACAGTTATTGCACAAGGCGGTAACTGTAGAAAATGTATCCTTTGAGTTGTTTACTATGTCCAAGAGATGTTCATACATAGCTCCCATTTTACTTATTGCATTTCCTTGGAGGGGGTTTAGAAAGTCTTGTTTTAGATTGAAACGCGTAGCGTCTTCTTTCAACTGAACATATTTCCAAATAAACTCTGGCTGCCCGATTTGATTCACCCAAGTTGTTCCTGGTGTCCATGTTTTCTCTTGTGGTTCTTTCCATTCTTTATAATGACTAAAATTTATTGAATCTTACTGTCTGTCTTCTCTGGCACACGCAATAATATCTTTTGCCTACCAATTCAACTCCAATTGAGTTAATGTTAAAGTTGGAATTAATAGCAAGAAGCAGCTCAAAAACAACTTGCTTTCCATCTTTAGATAAGCGTTGACTTTAAATAAATAAACGTCCAGCTATTCAATGTAGTTATATTTTAAACTTTGTTTTTTTTTGGTATAATTATTGCTAGTTATTATCAGCGGATAGAAGTTTATCTATGTAAAAGAATTTGTAAAACTTGCCGATCTGAATTTTCTATACTTTGGCTTTTAATCACGTTCAGAACCAATGCAAGACGTTTTCTTTTTTTTTTTTTTTTTGAAACAGATAAAATATATCAGGTTAGTTAGTTCAGAGCTTACATTAAATTCGCAAGCCCGTACCACTCCTCTGTGTAAAAATCAGGTAACTATTTTGAAAGTAAGTTTTATATTTTTAACAAAAATATTGGGTTATATCTAAATATATCTGCACTTGCACTTACTTAATAATTATGTTAACGAAATTAAGAATGGTCGAATAAGTTAAATATTTTTTTCAATGTGTCTAACAACTCTTTAGTGTATTTAATAATATTCTCTTCCTCTACGAAACTTTTTATCGTATCCCGTAGTACGCGTAAGTGTTTCGCTAGTTTAGTTCCACGGATCATAGCAACAAATTTTACCCCACCAGACATAAGTTTCCAAAGGGCTAAACAGATCAACCATTGCTCTTCGTATGTAATACCTGGCGTTTTTATTTCCATAGGCTGCGCTACAATTTCATCTATCATATAAATGAAATCGGTCGACGTAATGAGTGTAGAACGATTACTGCCCAGAAATGACATATTACGTATAATACGTAACGAGAGCAATCGTATTTCTGATCGGGGCTCAGATTGATGTATAGCGTAACATAAAGCATTCAAATGACACACCTGACCACCCTCGCTGTAACGTGAATATATTTCCCAAAAACGCAACCAAGCATTTTGTATTTCTACTTTGGGACGTGAGGTCTTCGGTTTAAAAGTGAGCACTGTATCGAATATATTCAATGTACGCTGCTTTTGAAGAGCCGTACGACCCTCTACGCAAGAACAGCAATTCATTAGAACTCGAAGCCCAGCCACTATAATAGGCATACAATCCGTTGAGACAGCCTTCACCTTCGTAGTTTCCGTTGTTACCGTTTTATCAACTAATTGAAGGATGGAATGCGCAAACGCTGACGAATTTATGGTAACAAACTGTTTGCACACTACTATAGAACGTTCACTAAGAAAAGCGCATACTTGTAAAATGACTAGTTTCAAATCGGCAGAATGCGGCGACCAGGGCCAAAGCTGAATTAGGATTCTACTGACTTCTGCGGCTACCGAGTCATCCGTAATTATCGTTGTTTGGGCTGAGTGCCAATATAATAAAAATGTAAGCAGTAACTGCAAGTTTTGAATCACAGCGGTCTTCTTAGTTTCCCCATATCGACGCACAAACGTAGTGCATGTAGTGCTTGCGTATTCATCAAAAAAGCACTGAAATGTCTTTAAGACTTTATTAATTAGTTTTAGATTATTGGCTGTCTCTTGTGCTGCGAGTGAGACTTTTAGAAGCAAGGCGAGAGTTTCGCTAATTTGCTGTTGCAGTGCAGTAGGAACCGTAGTAAACTTGCAAGCTTTCATTGGATACATATGCAGATATAAACGTATTAAAGCAATGCTTATATGTTCCGCCACCGTCGAGACATGACCGCCTTCACATTCACCTGAAATGAGAAATATTGAAACCACGTCTGACTCAATGTTCTGCCAATATTCCAGCATAAACTGATTTCTAATATTTATCCACTAACCTTTTTCGTTCTTCCTCTTTTTTAATGCTTTATTGGAAGCCTTATTATTGTCGGAATGATAAGTTTCAGAATCTGCGGATTTCGTCTCGTGCACCTGACAATCCAAGACATTGAGCAGTGTAATGGTCTTTCCATTGACAGCTAGTTCAGGTTGGGATTTTATTAGTAGAAAACTCAAAGCTGATAAAGCACAAGTCATCAAAGGACTATCGAGTTGCGTTATGGAAAACGCGTTTTTAAAAAGTTTCACTACTCCTTCAGGGTGTTTGGTTAAACTATCACAAATTATGTCAAAGGCTGTAGCGTCTTTGCTTATTACCATCAAAAACTGTAATACATCCACAATTATTGAGTCTTCCTTAAGGCAATCGTCTAGCAATACAATTTGACAATAGGCACTCAACCAGACCTCATCTCGACATAGAGTGCGCTGTAAGAAAATAAAGTTGTCCGGGTACAGAAGAATATATAAGCGAGTAATGTCGGCCACCAATATGAAGAAGGCACTGTGAGTTTGTGGTACGGGACGTTTTAATATCTCGTACAAAAGGAACATAAACGACTGCGTGCACAGATCAGTAAGAAAATCGCCGGATTTCATAGACATTGATCTGCATATTTGTGCGTAGGAACTTATTAATTCACAATTCGATATTCCTTTGCATGTCGAATCAAAACCAGCCGGTAGTTCTTCTGAAAGTATGCACACAGACGGATGTAAAGCATCCGCAGCTAAACGTAAGAACTGTTGCTGCAAAAGTAAGGATTTAATGTCTTCTGTTTGCTCCTTTTCAATAAGAAATGCAAACAGTTGGCCAGCTAACTGCCTGACACATATTGGTTCCTCCAGATTTAATAAGGTTGATAGGCAACAAGTCATAAATCCGCCAGGCAAGAAGGCAAGGTCATTAAATAGAAGTTGGGCGCCACTTTGGTAAGAAATCCTTCTTTCTTCCCTATCGTCCACAATGTCGGGCGCGTCAATCGCTTTGGTTTGCGAGAGTCGATGTAAAGTACTCCACGCTAAAATACGAACTTCAGGATCGACGTGACCGGACATTCCACCCAGCAGCTTAACTAAGTTGGTAGTTGCGCGAAATGTCACAACCACTTCTTTCATTTGATTGCTTAACTGCAGAACGGACAGTAGACAGTCTCTGTGCCATTGAGCACCAGTTTGGGTATATGACCTAAGTTTCGATGACATATTCATTAAACGCAGGCAATATTCATACAAAAGATCATCTGGCAAATCTATTTGGCAAGAGCTGAGTGCCACAAGTACGGAAAGTAAGCAACGCACTCTTTCCAAATCTCTACTTTCGAGCAAATGCTGAGATCGTTCCAACAGCAAATCAAAAACATTGCCAAAGTAAAGGTTTACCTTCACTCCTCGCACAATTGGATCAAAGCAAAATTTATGATTTTTTATTATTTCATTCAGTATTATAGTGATTTTACGGAACAACATAATAGGAGTCTCATCGTTGTCTATAAGTAACGTAATAAGAGTGTTCTGGGCATCCTTTTGTAGGATTGATGCAATCCCAGTGATTACAAAAGTTAACGAAGTTCTAATGCAGATTAAAGCAACGTCCAACAAACCTTCAAAAACTTCAAAATCCGCCACATTACCAGGCGGTAATTTCATATACTTAATAATTAAATTATGCATTGCTGTAATCTCTTCACTAGCTACGAGGTCGATGTGAGTGAGATATTTTAAAAGCAATTGTTGCTTTAATAACTGAGCCGCTAATATCAATGATCGATGATCTGTAGCGTTTGATGCAGAATGCAGTATACGCTGAACACACAAAGCGGGCTGTGATGAGCGTATCCAACGCACATCATGCGTTGTTAGTTTAAATTCGTCGCTTATATCAAGTTGAGTTTGTTTAGTTATCACTTTTTGGGTTATGTCCTTGAAATCGCTCCCATAAGCTCGTGCGATAACAAAACGCCAATAAAGATTCTCTTCTGCCATTGATGGAAATATCGTTTTCAATTTTTCATCATCCGAAGAACAGTCGGAGCATAGAGCTGGACGTAAGTTCACTTTGACCGGTGCTTTTAGATTTCCCAATACACAGGGAGCTGTTAAAGAATTTTCTGTAGCCACAATTTCATGAGGGAAAAGTAGTAAAAACAAACAGATGCTTGCATCTTGCTTAAGTTGCACATCATGCACAAACATCATTAAGGCCCTCAATAATAAAATGTAGATATTTGGAGTTTCAGACAATTCACAACGAACTGAGGCATCGTATAGTAAAACCTTTGTCAATATACTTATCGCAGTTATAGCTGTATCTGGATAATCTACGTCGCAATCTTTTCGCATAGAGTTTTCCAAGGCTTGCATTATCAAATAGAATGCTCCAGTTTCGCATAGATCTGCGGTGAGTCGCCAATTTGCGCAGAGCACGTTAATTTGCATCAGAGTGCTCTTTCTCACACAAGGTTCAACATCTGTCGCATCGAGTATATTGGAAAGAGTGTTCATTGTAGAAATGCCATCGTCTACGACCGTACTTCGATCACAAAATATTTTCCCATATTCCCGCGGCACGCTTAGCAAGCATAAATCGTTAGGTATTGTGTCATTGATTTCACTTATATTTGGAAAATAGTTGCACGACTCTTCCATGGAATTTAAAATGTAAATTAAACGGGCTAAGGCTTCCGAACGACGACAGACATCTTCATGAAAGAGAAATCCGATATTGCCTTGTAGCATTGCGACAGGAGGTAAGTGTTGACAGTCCGGATCGTAGAGCTTAAGCAGTACGCACATAAGCTGCTCGCAGAAAGTACAACATATCAGCAAAGGCATCAGAGGCACCATCAGCGAGACAAGATTATTCCAGTATATATCGAAAAGCCTTTCAGATTTAAGAAAAAGCGTTAAAATAGCTAAACAATTATCCTTAATGCATTCATTTGGATTTTCTGAAGCCTCGAAAATAAGGTGAAGCAATAACTCTGTAAATATTGGTACTCCTACTATTTGAGCGCCCAACAGCAATGCGTTGGAAGATTCAATAGAATAATTCTCTCCATTCATTAGGCAACCAATGTGCCGCTTAAAAGCTCCTGCCAACTTGTTGTAAGCATAAGATTTTAAAGGATCTGACTTTAATTTCAATAATTTTATAAGTAAATTTTTAGCTTTTGTATGAAGACTTGTGTTTGTCAGATAAATATGGCTGAAGTTAGCAATCGGATCGAAAAGCAAATCCAATAATTTTCTGCTTTGAATTTTTTCTAAAACAAGACAAACGTCCAAACCCTTTTCTAATATTTCCTTTGAAGAAACCGCAAGTGGATTAATTAAAAGTTTAGCCACTTCGGTAAAAATGCTCTCGCGAAAACCAAGCAAGCTTAATGATTCCCCCAGTGCTTTATCCGCTTTAACGAGCAAATCCCTTAAATGTTGATAACGCTCCGGGAAAAGCGTTTTGAAAGTGTAATCTCGAACAATCGGTAGATAAGGATGAGCATTGTCCAATGGCTTATTGAGGCCATTAATATCAGCCATGTCTTGCAATAGGAACAATAAATGCATCTGACGAATTCTCAAGCGGCTATAAATATCAGATTTATGATAACGGAAATCGAGTTTGTGAACAATTGCCGCCACTCTATGAACATATACGGTATCTAAACTTAAATCGATGAATTTGTGCAGAGTGAGAATCATGTAAATTATTTCCCATACAGTTGATGATACGTGACCGTGTTCTATGCGCACATCCAAATGTACAATGCAGGCGTCTAATAGAAGTTTCAAAGCTTTCTCCACTCGTATTTGTGTTGGAGATTCTTGTTTGTTGGGTAGATCGGCGTAGAGTGCACATTTCGAAGAGGTCCTTAATGTTAACGGCAAAGAGTAAGCCAGAGTTTTTCGTTTCAATTTCAACCCCTTCAGTAATTGATGTAAAAATTCCAAAAGTGTATTTGATACACAATCAATATCAACGATTGAACTATCATTTACGCCACGTTTCCGTTCATCAAAAACTTGCAGCAGATTAAGAAATACATTCGGAGCTTGCAATAAATATTGCACAGGATAATCACACATGGTAATTTGTAAATGATGCAAAGCATTCTGCATTTCAATTTTTGAAGCTGAAGGATTAATTAAAATGTCGGCTAAAAGTTTCATCGATGTGTAGTCAGCCACTGATGGCTTTGACCACGGAACCTCATAGGAATGGGGCCCTAAATTATCACTTTCATTACTATGTAAACTTAAACGGCTTACGCATTCATCAATTACTTCGATAACTTGATCACTTTTTGATGTGGGTGAAACTGCCGACTCTGGCTCCCGAATATATTTTATCAATTTATCAATTTCCTCTTTGAGTTTTAATTCATCATTATGGCCTTTTATGACAGCTTTGATTTTATTCAGTTCCTTTTTTAGACGCTCTGCACCTATGCGATGTAAAATTGTTAATCGATACTCTTTCTCCCGTAGAATATAATCCAGTAGTTCTAAGACTTTAAAAGGAGCTTGTATTGGTCTAGAAAACAGAAAAATAAATAATAGACTTGAAAGCAAGTTGCGATGGGATTTTAAACTGAACCTTATCCCAAACCAACGTATCAATTGTTTGCACATCTCATTCGGCTTAACACTGACTTTCTCATTATGGGCTAGCGCCCGTTTCAATTTAGAGGAAATTTGTTCTAAAGTTCTTAAACGTATTTCAGCAGCTTCATGATTTAACTTCTGCAACGAGTCACGATCTATCACTATCATGTACGCCATCACTATTTTTTAATGTATGAAATACAGTTGAATGAAAATTTAGCAAATGCTTGTATAAAATAAATCTATTTTAAAAAGGAATATAGTAATACTTTAAAAAGTTCGCCAATTTTATTGTGCTTGTTCTTTCATAAACGGGAATCAGTCACTCACAACGCCGTAACATACCAAAAAGCTTGCGGTTACAAAATGTATTTTTTTATTTAAAAATACCCCTATTAGGGCATTAATCCTTTGATTGCGTTCTTCTAGAAGGAGTTGGATAAAGAAATTGATTCCGCAACATATGTAGACGTTTCGATTTATGTCTAATTCGAATTGCATTGGGATGGAAAATAAACTCTGTACTATCTTATTATTGCATATACATATAATCTATTTGTAAATATGTAGAACCTTCTCTTCTATCTCTTGGTTAGGTTAAGGATTAGGTCCCTTGATTGTAGTATCGTAGTCGCCAGGTGAGTAATACGACTGCTTTTAATTATGAAAACGGCTATGTTGCTCTTTCCTCAACGTCAAAAAGTTCCCATAAAGTATTTCAATGGGAACAACGAAAAAAAAATTTTCCAATCAAACAATTCGATAGCATTAAGATTATTTAATCATAAAATTAGAAAGCAAAATTATTTAAAAGGAAAAATATACTAATGTAATGAATTACTTCATTCGCGACAATTTCCTTATCAACTTAAATGGCTGGCGCCTTAAAACGGATTTGATGTTCACGATCACGGTGTTGTTGAGATAGAAGATGAATGCGTAAGTGCGTAATATTTTCGAGAGACTCTTGGCACAGCAGGCAAGTAGTTGAATTAATATTTCCGTCGCTGAAAAATATATAAATATACAAAATAAATTTTGAAAATTTCATTACAACTGATGTTGGAGAGAGATTATAATACTGCACTCTTCTATAGAATATGTTTTTAACATATTCTTTACTGTATTTACAAGCATTATCACAAATGATGATGATGACAAATTTAGTGCACACTTTCCCGACAGAGCTGATTGCTTATATGAAATGCAGTACAACAAACTCCTCCATTAATGACTTTTACAATACATACAATTGTCGTAAACGGTGCAGTTCTTCGCAATGCGAAGTCAACGAATGGATGCGATCATATTTTTCGTCATATAATCGGGGAGCGAGTAAAGGCGGAAAAAGCGAACGTTTACCATATAAATCTGTAGAATCTGTAATCGTTTCTTCAGCAAGCTTTTGCCATTTATTGTCGTTAGGACCGCCGGTGACGTCAGTATATTTGCGATTTTTACTTAAAAGTCTTGAATAGATAAATAGTTACGGAGAGGTCTATTAAAGTGCTGGATCCAATGGTCACCATTTACCTGAAAATGAGCTTTTGAATTTTAGCCGTTAGCTTTTCGCATTCCTTCTGGTGGATGGCAGGCCGTTCTTGATTGGGTTTTGTGAACAATATTGTATCCATTGAATATCGAATTTGATTAATCTGTAAAGATATAGGGAAGCATTCAAAAGTAATTGAGTATACTTGTGTCATATACCAATTCTATATCATCTGGTAACAAATCTACATCCAAATTCAGTACTATATCATGTTCCTTGTAGAGGGATTCAAAGGTTTCCTCATCGCAGCCTAAGCTGAAAAAGTAACATGAAGTAAAAAACAGCTCTTTGTATGTTTTTTTTTATAATGTTTCGTCCATCGAGAAATCTAAATTTTGTGGTTCGACGTTGAGAGGCTTTCCTAAATTTAATTAAAAACTAAATGTAATATAAATGTATAAAGTATTTACCCAGCAATAATTGAGACATATTTCGTGTGCTCTTTATTACATTTTAGTTGCATGGTTGGGCAAAATAGTAAGGTCATTAAAGCACAAAACCCATGGATATTTGGCATTAAAGTCGTACCCCGTATGACCAGGTTATCGCCATTCGGGGATTCCGTAATACCTGCAGCGACGGTTAGACGTTCATAGGCATCTTTAGGATCAGGATCGATTAACATAAAATTGACGGAATCTCGTTCCGCTTGTACGGCTTTACAATTGCCTACACTTGTTGCACTATATATATTTGTTTCGATGGGACTGAAAGGCCCTCGCAAATGCAGTGTTCTTGTGCATAGTTGTTTAGGGGGAGGTTGAATGTTCACGTCCAATTCGGGATGTAAAGAGCGTAAATAATCCTCATTTTGCCTTGAATGTTCATCGTCTAAAAATCGATTTGCAACTGATTGTTTGCGTAAGCGGAAATCGTGGTCAGTCTGAGGCGAAAATATGCCTTTAGAAATGTTTTTCTTATGTACAATTGAAATTATCTATTTTCTGGATACCTTAGACATTAGATTTTCATCCGAGTTTCGCGCTAAGCCCTTCTCCACAAGAGTCTCATTCAAAGAGCTATCCTCTTTCTTGACGATCACATTGGCAACTCCCTTAATCAAGGAATACACCTCAATTTCTGTTGGACCAGCATCGGCATGTTCTTGCATCAATACCATCGCTTCGTCTACCCACTTCTCAGTAGGAGATAATACAGCCGAAGCTTCTACTAAGGCCAGACGACATTGGAATAAACGTGGGGGTATATCAGCCAAATGTTTGGAGTAATTAGAAAAACGTCGCAAATCGTCTAATTTGACAATTGACTTATTACCGAAATCGATGAAATGTACCTAAAATTGAATCAAATTTTTTGTATTTGCAAGCACGATCTTATCATGAAGTACCTTAAATTGTGTATGTTGACGCGAAACATGAATCACATTTAACACTTTGGCCCGGTGAAATTTCTCCTCAAAATGAGCCGAGAGAAACATGCCATTTTTTATTTCAGCAGCATTCGAAAATCGACACTTCTGAAGCTCATTTGGATCGTTTAATAGTTCATCTATTTCGCGCAAACGCGGCATCTCCGATATAGGTTGGAAATAGAATTTACTACATGTCTCAATCTTCAAAAATGATTGCATACAAATATTATCAAGTAGTTTAGGTTAAGCATATCAAATGGTAGGAGAAATTATAGTTAAGCGTCTTTCAGCGCTCATTGTACACAGCAATGCAATATGAATGTATTACACGTGAATTGAAGTTAACATGAAAAATTATGCATTCGACTTACATGAGTTATGTACCCGGTTATGTTTTTCTGGAAAACCGAGGGTAAAACTACTAATTCCACATTTTGAATATGCCTATCGGTCGGTTTAAACGTACCATCGCACATATTTCCCAAACCATATCTTTCAGCATATTCCCCTTCTTTCGAGCTAAATAGGTATTGATTTTATATAGGATGTAAATGTAAATAAAAGTGTGTTAATATCAGCTAGAGAAGGAAAAATTGTGACTTACTTCATAACATTTATTTGGTGGCGTATATTTAATGAACGTAATCGCAAGGCTTTATAGACATTAACGTCTACTAAACCGGGCGTTTTTATTTGATCATCCTCGTTATCATTACCACCAATGATTCTATCTTTAAAAACAATAAACACTTTTTCAGAGCCTGACTGAAAATGTACGTCAATCTTTTCCGGTTCGATATCAACATCTTTAAATAGCTCTTTTATTCGTCCAGTATACAGCTCGCCTATATGTCGTGCTTCGAAATTTGAAAACATTACAGTATTACATGGATCGTGGCCGCACAACGTATGATAAATGGATCTTTCTTTTTCAGGCCGGGTTATTCTAGAGCGTGTAAAATAATTGGGATAGAAAGCACCGCTAATAATAATCTTTAAAATCATGGCCTTCTCCCAATCCAAGCTACTTGAAATTATTCGGTAAGTGGGATTTTTTTTAATCCCGAACGCCGCCAAACGCTCTTTCAGCTCAATGACTAATAAATGCATTTCCCTAATACTGCGTATATTTACGAAATTTCTACCAGCCCAAGATAGCTCATCGTGTTCATCACGCCCTTCATCACTTTCACTTAACGAACTCCATTCCTAAACAAAATTCTCAAAATGTGAAATAGAAAAGGATTTCGTAGATAAACAAGCTCACTTTATATGCATTTAGAATGGCTATTAAATCTGAGCCCGATCCATCAGCCCATTTAAGTTTTTGTACGAAAGCCGATATTTGGTTTTGTCGCTTATAATGCTGAGTTTTAAAAATAGACCGAACACTCAAACCAGCAGCTATTGGATATGTGTGGAAAAGCAAAGTTATCATTTGAAAATATTAAAATAAACGTTATTTCATACTTACCAATAATTATAGACTCCTCTAAAGCACCGAAAACCCAGCCCAAAATCGTTAATCGTGTTAAACGTACATCCAATGGCATTAAGGCCATTACGCGCCCCATAAATGAAATGTCACCGTCTTCAATAGAGTAAATATCGTTGGCATATTTGTACAGGGCTCCGACTTCTTTTAAAATAGTTATCGTATTTTGAATATCACTTAAATTGGGAGGGTTCATGGATAAACCAAGCACCGTGCTTGGCGAACCCATTTCAAGCAGTTTTGCCTTTAAAACTACATTCTCCAAGGGACAACGTAACATCTCTGGTGTGCTAAATTCGTCCAAGTATTTCTAAACGCAAAAAATGCAAAGAAATTTTATTTATTTCATAATTTTATAACATAAAATCATTGCCTCATAGTAATGACGTGGTAGTAAACGATAAACACGGCCGTTCATTACGCGCCCCGCTCTACCGGCGCGTTGACGACAATTCGCACGTGAAGCCCAATGTAATTGTAAAGTAGTAAAATTCGTTGATGTATCAGTTATCAGAATTTTGGTCAAACAAAAATCAATCACTAAAGAAATGAGAATTCGAGTTCATTGGAAAGTCAGAAGTTGAACAGATTTAAAATAAGCGGAAAGGTTGATCACCGTATTTGATATCTGGCACAGTTATAGAACTTTCAGCTATATTGGTAGCTAGTATAACTTTACGATAGCCGGGAGGAGGTCGATGGAATATTTTTACTTGTTCTTCAGGTGATATAATGGAATGTAAACGAATTGGGCTTAATTTTGATTTATTCCTGAAATCAGAATGAAAAGTGACGCAACAATTAATTTGAATTCAATTTACAGTCGCACTTACAAGTCGGCGTCATTCAACTGTTCCAGTCTCTTATACATTTGATCTATTTCATTAATTCCTGGTAAAAATATTAGAATTGCTATCCTATTCGCGTCCATCGATGAGTCTGGATTAAAGTCCGCCTCCTTTTTCTCAATGCTATCTATGACAATGATAAGCTTTAAAGCCAAATTATACATTTCCACGTCAATTCCGGGATTCTCAAAATCCACTGTCGCTTTCTAATTAAAAGAAAATTTTTTAAGTTTGTGCGTAAAATTTGATAATAAAATATTTCTCACCTTGGTATTGATGCGATCTAAATCAGATAAATAGAATTCTTTTACTTGATATAAACGGCGTGCATCAGAGTGAATCACTGGAGCTGGTCTATTGAATATTTTAAAATATTGCGAAAACTATAAAAATAAACGTTTATTACTCAATTAAATACACACTGTTATCTGAGCCATTTTCGCCTTACTTACTTCTCGCACATCCATGGTGGCAGACATTAGAATAATTTTAACATTTTTCGAATTGGTTACCAATAGACGTCGAACTATTATTAGCAAAAAATCCATATCTTGGTCACGCTCGTGAACTTCGTCTAAGATGACGTGTGTATAGGGGAATAATGTCTTCTCACGTATTAACTTTTGCAACAAAACACCAGTTGTACAGTAGAGAAGATGGGTGTCATCAGATATATTTGCGTGAAGACCAACCTATTTTAAATAGAGAATAAATACTCTCCTAAAAAACTTTATATGAAAAAAAAAATGTATTTCATACAACGAACCTGATAACCCACGACAGATCCTTCTTCCCATTTGCGTTCGCTGCAAACTCGTTTAGCAATAGACATGGCCGCTATTCTTCGCGGTTGCGTGCAAATAATTCTGCAATACTCGCGTCGACGATAAGCTTCATCCAGAATATATTGGGGAACCTTAAATTGAAGAAATCGAATGATTAACAATTGACTAAAGCTAAAAATTGAATTTTTTTCCTTCCTATAACGTAAACGTTACCCACCGTAACTGAACTTTTTTTGATAATAACACAGCTCTACCTACAATGTGCCTATTATGTAAAAAGGGTTACATTCCAGCAAATAAAATTATTTAAATTATTTTCCCATAACTGTTCATTATGTATTCCAAAAATTTTTCTTAACACGATTTGAAGGTTCGTAAGGCTAAACAAACGTCTCATCTATTTTTTATGCTATATTTTGAGATATTCAGTTTATTTGGATTATGTTATTGAGATAGGTGGCTTATATGTCCAGCTTGTTGATAACTTATGTAACTCTAGTATTATATGTATAAGACTTATTGATTCAAATCAAAAACCAGCAAAGAGAGAGTTGCAAACTTTGCCTGATTAAACGGAAATCTGAATAACTTGGAAAGTAAAAAGTATAGGAAAGCACATTGTCGGTACAAAAGCGCATATTGGAAGTAAAAATCTTGTAAAAATTTATAATTAAATTATTCGAAGATTTTATATGTTTAATTCGGCCGAATCTTTGTTGCTTCACATTCCACACATGCATGTAATTCAATGTGGCTCTGATCATCTTCGGCGTGATTTTGATATAAATGTTCCATACTCATCGGCACGAGTTTAGATGGACTTTGTAGAATAAACGATGCCTACGTGATTTCTTTCTATTTATCATTCGACTGTTAAAATATGAGATTTTGGTTGTGGGAATATACTTGATGGACAAAACCTAATCATTAGGTACTGGACGTGCATATCATGAACGGTCAAATACATTTTGTGCACATATGTAACCCGTACAAAAGAGTTTTAAGCAGCTGTCTTACTTAAAAAGAGAGATAGAAAAAATCGGGAACTTGTCATCTCTATTTGACAACAATAGACTGTAAACAAATAGTCGATCACCGAATGTAGCGAACATTTCCAGATTTATAAAAGTCGGTCGTACAAGATATCATTGCAGGAATATTAAAAATGGAAGCGGCTGTGTTTGAAGATTGCTACACGCTACTGGAAAACTTTGTGAATAATGGTAATCCGCACTTTCAATCGTTTTGTGAACAGTGGAAATTAATGATGTTTCAACATATATACGCCGTTCAGTCTTCAACGATTGAAATTATACAAACAACAAATGCAGTATTTCATATAGCAAAACGAACAATATGCGGAAGAGACAGCGCTGGACGCAAAATTAAAGCAGCACTTGATAGTGAGCAACGTTCGGTTTTAAGACGTATTGGAGGATTGTACTTAATGTATTCAGTATATTTTAAACAGCCAACAAAACGATACGTAAAAGTTCAATTAAGTCTACGAACTTGGAAGGAATTTACCACTTTCGTGGAATCGATGCCCTATTTGCCTAATACCGACGAAGTTCGTTACGTCTTCTGGAAATTATATCAGTCTGATGCTTTTCGATTTACTGCAGTAGACTATCATTTGGGTTTGGAAAATTTGGTCGAATACGATCACATTGAAGAATTAGAAAACTTGGATAGCGATGAGCGCCCTTCACGACTGCATTTAATGTATAAATTACATGAATTGACGGAAATGCAAGATAAATTGCCAGAGCTTACAAACATGGAAGATCAATACAATGAACTCAAACGAAAAATTTCCGAAAGTCAGCAAATGTCACACCAGGCCTTACCACCCACAAACGTCTTTTATGAAATTAAAAATGTTTTCCAGACAATTCAAGATTTGATATCAGTGCCTTCTTTAAATATAGAAAACTCCAGTGATTGCCAGAGTTCGAAACAGCAGTTGAAGAGGAAGGCAGCTGGCTTTGGAGAAGACAAAGAGGAAAACTATTCGTCGGAAGAAACCCGAAAAGGCTGTGATGCGGCAGAGAAAGGGGGATATAAGCGCTCTCTTCGAAGGATGTCTAGCCGATCAATTTTTGTTGAAAAGCTACCTGATTACGTATTAAATGATTTAGACAAATCGTCCGACGAAGAACAAAGTCATGAAGAGATGAGCGATATTAATAACGAAGACGGCGAAAAAGTTAATAAATAAAATTATGCTTTAATTCGCATAACTTTGGGTTTTCACTTGCCTGAGTAGTTTTTCCGCAACCGGTGTCACCTTCCAAAATAACAACAGGATTCTTACGAATTGCGTCAATGATTTTCTCTTTTGCATCGTATATAGGTAATGAGGAATCTCGATTTAAGTCAAACACATAACGCTCGTAAATACCACCATCGACTTTAACAGGCTCGGTTTCTTCTCCCAGATCGTCAATACTGAAATTGGCGACTTCAGGGTCTTGATTACTTCTATGCAATTTTTCATTAGTTTCCTTGCAATCGTCATGCTATTAGTAAAATATAAACAGAATTAAGTGATAAACAACTACATTAAGGTCACTAATGCTTCATACTCTACGTAATTTTTTCAATGTTTTACAGTCCTCAGGAAAAATCGGGGCATGCCGCTTTAACAGTTCAAGTGCTGTTTTACTGGTTGAGGCGACTTCGTCTCTCGGTCTTTCTACAGGGGCTGTTCGCGGCACAAAATCTTTAGAGATATTAAAGAAATCTTCAATTTCGTCCATTTGAGCACGGTTAAGAGAAATCAACTTTTTTGTACAATAACAATAAAAAAAAATTTAGAGCCGGCTGTTTGTCACTAGTTATTATCGAAACATAGGAACACTAATCGATAATAGTGTTATAAAGTCGGGTAGCTAGGATAAGTAAATTTTCCTCTATATATAATTTCCCAAATACTTGTCTAAATCATTCACTTCTTGTTAAATTATAATTTATTAGAGATATCTAAAGATAATTTCTGCAAAGTATTTCTAATTTTGATTAACCAGCCCTGCATGTTATGAAAATATCTAATAGGATTTTATTTATCTGAGGCTGGTATCTCTGTGCTCCCGCTAATTTTTCGAATCCCGTTATAAAGTGAATTTTATGTTAAGTGACCCCAATTTTTCGCACAAAATTTGGCCGAAGGTTTTTAAAAAAGGAAGAAATTATTAAAAATGCATAAAATGCCATTAAAGCTTCCTGCAACAACGTGGAAGCGTAATTTACCTGAAGAAGAAATATTTAATTCGACACTAAATACATCCAACGTGAAGTGAGTGTCAAATAAAAAAAAAAGCTGTTAGCTGGTATCATTGCAACAAAAAAGTATAGCTTACGACAAAGACTTGTGTGACATTTAATAATGTCACCAAAGTCAGCAAGTTGTTGAAGTATTCCAAATATTTCTAGGCGTTTATTTTTGTAGAGAAACCGACAAGTTCATCACTTTATTGGATGAAGCAGCTGTTTCTTATCGCAATGATTGTCTTGAGTTAGCTGATGTTATGTACAAGGAAGCTAAAAAATGTTTGACGGCTCGAGTAGATTCAAGTACTCATACTAAGGTAGAAAAAAAATGCTCATAATAAACTGTTTGGACAGGTGGAAAAATGAAGTTGTTGTAATTCTTTTAGGGTATGCATTTAGTGGATTCTATAATATTGAAAATACCTAGAGACTCATCTAGACTAGTATGGGCGCTTAAGACCCGAGGTGATTTCAATTATCAAAGTGGTTCTTTTGAGGTAATTTCCGAAAAATCTATAAGCAAGCAAATCTGTTTCCAAGAAACATTTCCGAGTAAAGTGTTTTGAAAATGTTTTTTTTACAAAAAAAAAAAACATGTAGTTTATTAATTTTCAAATACCGAGTTTAGCATTACAATTAAATTCCCACTAGTTCTAGAAATCTTGTGTTTCAAATTGATTGTTTATATATGTCACTTATTACTTGCTATAGTTTGCTTCGAGGGACTATGAAATATTTTTAGAAGCCTGTGCAAAAGGCAACTCGGAAGTCGGGGTATGTTGCCAGGTGTATGGACGTTTAACGATATGCATGTATATGACGAAGCAACAAATAAAAAGCAGAAAATATTTAATTGAATATCAAAAATGCAGATGTAAGATGCTCACTCATGTGTTCTTTTCAGAGAAGCAGTTAAATATTATCGTTTATATATATTACAGCTAAACTTTCATTCGAAATCTTACAAGGCCAAGTATTTGGTAAAAACATATTAGAAAATACATTTTGGTTTGTATCATTAATTCACCATAAGTTCTTTCTTTAGCTGAACTAGATGAACATATTAAAACTTTTGAACCTCTAGTGAATAATATGGAATGTATTGTTGCGCCCGCTATATCTGAATCGTTATACTTTCTCACACCTTATAATGGATTCAATGGAAGTTCAGAGATACCGTTAACTTCAGCAGCATGTGGCTATCGCAAGTAATTTAAAAATTAATTAATTAAATTATTTCATGTTTTCCTATAATTTTTTAATGACATTTTATCTTCGTCCGCTTCTTCCGCCTTTTCTTTTCTTTTTTTTTCAGTGACAGTGTTTACGCGAAATCAACTATTCCGCAAGGGGCTGTTCTGTTTGTCGAAGAACACTTTTATCAGCCAGTGAAATTTCCTTTTTTACGTTGCGAGAACTGTCGGCATTATACGACGCTGTTTTACACTTGCTTAGAGTGCCGTTACAAATGTTACTGCTCTCTGCTTTGCATGGAAATTGATAAACCTTTTCACCAATATGAATGCGAGGGTTATATGCAACTTTCGCTGATTTTCCTAGACGCGGCCAACATATTTCGCCTATTCTTACGAATTTTGTTTTTGTTAAACGATCATGTTTTCCATAGAAAAATATTCCATAAGCTAAAAACAGGTGGCCAAGTTTTGAATGCCATCTATCACATGCTAGGCAGCACAATGCTCTTTGGAACTCGTTATTTGGGGCTTATAAGAAACAAACCATCGTATGGAAGTCTATCTAGTATACAGTATTCGACTGTAATTACCACCGCTTTTCGATTAACTATTTTCATTGAGAAAAAAACCAATATAATGGAAACATTCCTAAATAAACTTTCAATATCGAACAAGCAGAAAATGATCGTCGTAGGCGCGCTACTTATGCGTTTACACTCTAACATTTTGCTTAACTCATTTGATATTGAATACGTTGGATATTTGACGAATTTTTCTCTTCTTAACGGTCCCCAGCCGGACGTGCCGAAGTATATTAATCCAATACGTGGCATCGTCGAAGATATATACGAGTTTTATAATATTGATGTTGAAAAAGATATAAATGAACGAAACGATGACATTATAAAATGTGAAACACCAGTTTGCCGAGCTGCATCCGCCATATTAAATTGGAATCATATAAAAAATTGTACTCCGATAGATGACATTCTCTCGATATTCAAGGATAATATAATCATGATGTATTTTAACCCTGAATTGAGCTCTAAGCAATTAGAGGAGAAGCGTGCCCAAGACCCCGAAATAATAAATGGTCATCTCGCCCAATTGGGCAGTGATAAGTCACGCTTTGAATTTGTGAAAGGATGCGCTGATCTTTTTCATAAGCATTTCACCGATTATTTTCTTCCAATGTTTGAATTTCATCCGCATCTTTCGGAAGTGATTACTTTATATTGCCCTACTCTGAGAAGGTTCAAACATTCTTGTGTGCCAAATGTCCAAGTGATGTAAGTTATGAAAATCACCTTGGCACGAATCATTGATATATAATATGAAAGCAGACGTGCCATACCAGATCAAGAATGAAGTCAACTAATCACATTTTTTGATTTTAAAATGTTTTCCTTTTCATATATGCGTCATAAATAGGGTTCTAAATAACGGAGTAGTTATAGGGAAATCGTTACGCGAGATAAATGAGAATGAAGAACTTAATATAGCTTTCAAGGCCCATTACTTAATGCATACACGTCCAGAGAGGAAAAACTTTTTGAAAATATTTAACACAAAGTGTAACTGCAAATCCTGTCAATTAGTTGAAATTGGAGAATCGACGGTAGGTGTAAAATTATAGACGAAGAAAAAATTAAAAATTAAAGAAAAAAAAATAATCTTTAATTTCGTGTAGAACATACGACTTGCAATTAAGTGTGATAAGTGCAAAGACTTGGTAATAACTCCGGCCCACAAAAGTTGTTCCGAATGCCAAACTTTATATGCGGATTTGTTAGCTAAATATTGCTCAACTATACGTCTTCTAGAGAAGCAACTAGAAGCGGCTACGGAATCTAACGGTGGAGAGAATAAAGAACGTGAAGTTTACGTTCTACAAACGATTCTACTTCGCCAGGCCAAACGATGTTTTACCCAGCAAAACGAAATTTCTGTAAATATTGAACTACAATATGCGCATTTCTTGGCTTTAAAAAGTAAATATTTGGTCATTGATTTTGATATTGATTGATATATATCTCATTTTTCTCTAAATATATATCCATGTAGATTTTGCCCAACAATCCTATGATTTATTAATGGAAGTCAAGGAAAAGATATTAAAGTACTACCCAGAGCGCATAATATGGTTCACATTTTATGCCTTTATCCTGGAAACTATTAAAGTTTTATTACATTACAATTTAGAAAAGCTGTAAGTAGATGTACTTTGTACTTTGGTATTATTTCGTTATATATATTTATTAACTTAAATTCAGCAATTATTGTACGTTATCGAAAGATGCTCTTTTGAATCTTTGTCGTCTTGGCATTTACATAATCAAGGGACAAAAAGAAACTTTTGAATTTTATGAAAAGTTTGACACTCACGGTATAATATTATTGGAGGACTTAAAAAGGTTCTTTATTTGGAAGAAACGCATTATTTGTGAAGGTACTTTTTTTGAATTTTGATGTCTTAGCCGCGTTCTATTAATGTTTCCGTAAAGCTTAAGAGCTAAAGTTTGTAAACAATATAGATTATCTTCTATTTATGTAAGTTTAGACTTGGGATTCCTGTGTGTCCTGTTGATATGTTATGCTTTCCCTAAGAATGTAAATAGCGTAATTAATTTTTTTTTTCTCGATAATTACTTTCCTCATAAATATTCATACATTAATGTGAAATTATAAAAATCAAAAAAGAAAAAGTAGAGTTTGACGATTTTTTATAAGCGCTTTCTATTTTATTTAATTTTATTTAATTTTGTTGCAAAATTAAAGAAATTGTGCTCTTTTTAGTTTTTATACCCACCAAACTGTATGCTCATTTTGTTTTTTTTTTTTGCAAAATATATGTAATATCCAAAAGGAAGCTTCAGAAATCCTATAGAGTATATATGTTCTTGATCAACGTGAAATTCTGAGTTGATTTAGCAATGTTCTTCCGTCTGAGTGTTTGTGTGTTGTATGTTGTCGGCACTCTCCTGGCCGCAAAAATGAAGATATCGACATCAAATTTGGTAGAAACATTGGAAATTTCTACAAGCAGGTGGGTATTGGAAAGGGGGCAAATTGATCGGAGCAGAAGCGCGCAGTGCGATGCAAACTGAACGCAACTTAGTTTTTCTTAACAAAAATTTTTGGATTTTTGCTCGTTACTCGGGAATTATTAAAAGTAGAACACTGAGATATTCCATATTTACTTTACGAAACAGTCTACTCTTTAGGCCCGAAAATGGACATAATCGGCCGTGCCCACACGAAGTTACGAGTAACTAAATTCTATTTTTTTCAATTTTTTGAAGTTTAATGCTTATTTCTCACAAGGCAAACAAGACAGAATATTTAAATCTATTTTGAACATTCCGCAAACGAAGAAATATTATCTGCCTAAAAATGGTTTAATTTTAAAATGAATACGGTAGACAATGTGATTAATTTTTTCTTAATGTACCAGCGATATGGGTATCCCAGAATTGGGGACCAATTCTAAATGGAATCTAGAGTCGCTTTTTTGTGGAAACAGGTTTCGTTTTTGTTGCATTGCTTTTAACATATCTGGTAACATATCTGTTAAGATATGTTGTTACTACTTACATTTTTGAGGCATCTGTATTGCTTGACAAAACTTGGCTGTATTTTACAAAAAACCCCAACTAACCGTTTCTTCATGGCAAACCAAACAAATTGCAAGTTTGTGAAATGAATAGTTAAATAGTTATTGCAGAAAAGTGAAAGAAAATTTATTTAAAAAAAGCTTAAAAATAGAAAGAAAACAATTCAATTCAAAAAGTGAAATTTTAGAAATACAAATCTTAGAATCCAAACATTAGGAATCCAAAATATATCAGTCACTTTACATCATAAACGTGAGTCCTTCTTTTTAATGTTCTTGTTATGTTATTCTTTTACAGTTTTAAAAATTTGGTTAAATGAAATTTTTGATGTGTTTTGTTTGTTTATTTAATCATGGAAAAACAATTTGTGAATTCCGAAAAAAGAGAGTATTTGAAAGTATTGGTTCTTTAAGCACAAAGGAAGAGGCTATATTTCTTTTACTAAGAAATGGAAGTTTTTTAAAAATATAATCAGTCATAGAGTGAGATAGTAGTCTCGTCTAATAAAATGTTCGGTAGTCCAGTTAGAAATCTCAGACATCTGGACTATTTTATCTTTTTCGGTCAGCCCAGCAAATTTTGACTGGGCTGACGTAGGCGGACTATCGCAGCTCTCGTCCTGGGCCGGTGCAAAGTCGTCCTCTTCGGTCAGTCGGGCGCAGTTCGGGCCATGCGACTGCCGGCGACTTGCAGCCTGGGCGGACGTAGACGGACTATCGCAGCTCTCGTCCTGGGCCGGTGCAAAGTCGTCCTGGGCATATGTTTCATTGTTTGATTCCCGGGACATCAACATCTCGCTTGGAGTGGATCGCTCTTTCGATCCTGGCGATGACGCAATCGAATAAGCTTTTCCAAATTGCGTTTCGCGCCGCGTACGCGTTAGTTCGGCTAAAACCGCATCTATGGTGGATGTTTCGAGAGGCTTTTCGCCATCTTGGAATCCACGACATTTTTCCTTCGCCAGAAGTATATCTTCTTGAGAAGCCTTTGCCCTTGCTCTCTCTCTCTTCATGGTTGCAGCTGCCTTCTTATATCCCAGCTCTTCAGCATACCACGCATATGAGGTAAGAGCGGTACCGGACGACCCTTCCTCAATTTTTTTTATCGCTCTTCTGATTCGGTCCAGGGTCTTTGCAAACCACGTGGCAGTTACTCTACGGTTCGATTTTTCGTTAAATCTGCGCGCCAATTCATCGTAGATTCCGTTCTTTGATGTCCGGCAAGAACGCCACACCTCCGGATGCTCGCGGAGGAGTTTGCTAAGGAGATCGTGCATGTCGGTGAGCATAATATCTGAATAGATATATTTAAAAAAATTGAAATATATTAACAGTTTAATATTTATTATTCATTGAAAATCAAGGGAGAAATCGATATAAAATACATTCGCTCCAATAATAATGCAAAAGGCATTTTATTTTTAATGAAATTGTTAAAGCTAAGATAGAATATACTAGGCTGCAACTGTTATTTTTTGCCTCATTAATTTCGACGGTCACCGTATTACACGAATAAACGAGATTCCCTGAGTCGATATTGAAAGCAAAAGAAAAAAAAGGCCTTACACCAAATTTCATCATAGGTTGAACACAAAAAAAAGGCAGGCGGGCAGACAACCTTGAGATCGACTCATTCTTTCTAATAGAAGTGAAAGAGAAATATACGATATTCGATGCGAGAAACTGAGACAAAACAACTTCAACAACTATGAACTGATACGACTTACGCTGAATTCAAACGAATATTTATTATAGGTCTTAAAATATTTTTTTTTTAAAATTCGATCTATTGACCAAAAAAATTTACAATATTTACAAAATAACACAATACTACAAAGTAATAAAAATTTAAAATCTTAAAAAAGCTTAAATGTAAATAAAATAAAAATAAAAATAATAAAACTCTATAAACTAAGATTGTAAGATTGTTCCGTCTTTGTTTTTTTTTGTTTTTTTATTAATTTTTTTAATTATTTTTTTGAATTTTTTATTTTTTTTTCTCACTGCGAACTATTTTGTAGAGCTTTCATCAACCTCTACAAAACAGTTCTGCTTCAAACGGAACACTTTGCAGCTATCATCAACCTGCAAAGACTTATTCAAAGACTTATTTTAAATTTAGAAATTATTTGTCTAATTATCTTACACTAATGTACGAACGAATCTTCATCAAGAAATATTGAAAATTAAGCCTTTCTAACATATAAAGATTCAGTTTCTATAGGCAACTTCACAGAATTGCCGCACCCGCTTAAAAATTTTTCACATCAATGCCAAAATATAGCGCTATAGCGTTTTTGTATTAAATTTTTACGATCTTAGGAGTGGCAACCCATTTGTAGCTTAACAGCACTAATGAAAAATCACAAAAACAAAAAGCGTTACTTAACGGCAATTTTCATTGTTTTTGTTCATTTTCGCGATCTCCATTTGCATTGGACTTGCCGTCAATTGATTTAAATCATTTTAATAAATAAAACGACAAAAAGACTGGTGATATGTTGTTACCAAATAGTGGTAATAAAGTAATTATCACACGGAACGATCTTTTGCTCATATCTTGTTATATGGTAGTAGAAGAACATTTCTTTTTTACCTTGTGTTTTGTGTTCTGCGACACAAAATCCAAGTAAGGTTGGTGTGTTTGTCGTACACAAGGTACATTCTCATATGAATAATAAGAATAAAATTGATTTATATGTTCGTTTTTGACCTTTCAGCTCCTGGCAAAACGCGTCTTTATGGGTCGTAATTCTGTAGAATTACCTATTTGGATAAAAAGAATATTTATAGATGTTCAGCCATGTACCGGTTATAGTTTTAGTATAGGTGATTGTTCGCCGTTTGATTTAATGGGAACATGTCATATGCATACGTCATTAGGATTGTGGTTTTACCTTACAATGTTTTAAAACCGTAAACTTTCATCATAGACTATTTGAATTGTTAAAATTCGGCGAAGATCCGGGCGTTGAAGAGGATATGCTTTGTATTATTAATCATATTTCGGAAAATGATTGCAGTGTTATGGTTACGGATAACCAAAATGAGATAAGAGCCAACGTCGACCATTCATGTGCATTTAAGGGGAAATGAGCCCAAAACTTAATATAATTGATAGTTCATTTGCCATCATTTAAGACTATAAAACGAGTAACCAAAAAGTAGCATTACTTCTTAATGTGTTAGGTTTCGAATGATGGCCACGATCAAGAAAGTTTATTGTCGGAAAAGAACAACGGTAGACAAGAAAATCGCACTCAAAAAGCTAATTTGGTAAACAATTTCTTATATTTTCCTAAATTGCAAAAAATAATATCCGTATATTCAAACTTTTTAATATTTATTTCAAATTTCGATAGATTGAATCAAAATGGTCATCACACGTTCAAAATAGTACACATTCCAAAAGCCTTCAAAAAAATGAAGTTAACGCAAACGCTCAGGACAAGAATGTTAGCGGAAAAAAGGAGGCAAGTCCAAAAAAACAAATAATAAACCATTACGCTCCTTTAATCATATCTGCCATTTTTATTCGCCTCTGGCTCAAAATCCAATGTTCAATTATCCCAAATCCCTTCGGTGCAAGAGTTGGAGGCTGAATGGCGTCAAAACTGTACAACGTACAACTCATATCAGTCCTAACAAGGGAAACAGTATTAATAACGATGCGAAGGAACAAGATACGGAAAATGTTCGGAAATTTGTTAATCACTTATATGTAATAAAGACGACACTCAGGGTATACAAGCAAACTCCTATTTGCAATGGCGAAAATCTCGCAAATTTGCTGTTTTATCAACAAAAACCAAGCATTATGCAGTCATCAACAACGATTCATTACAGCAAGTTGCCCCTTCGCTACATTGCAATTGAAAGGAATTTTGAGTCGTCCAGAAGCTCAAATGCTGCTGGTCGGTTTATCAAAAAGTAAGCTAGGTGTGTGAGTACTGGGTCGATGAATAAACAAATAAATGTTTTTAATTTAGGTGAAATTTCTAAACATGGCCGTCTGAGCCGACGCGATCGTGAAGGCAGTACGTATACATCTGGTCAACAGCAACATTAACAACAGCAACTATGCGTAAGCTACTGTAGGAAATGTTGGTGCGCTGCGTCAAATATATGCCAAGTTACATTTTATAATTTAATTGGCGGACATCGCATAGAAATTTTGGAAAATATGTTTTACATTTTTAATGGTTTAGTAGATAATCCCAACAAGACTTCTTCTTTTCGAAATAAACTTAGAGATCATATTTTTGATGTGTATAGAAAAATTCAAAACTAAGTGAAAAAAAGAATTGTGAAAAAATGTGTGTCCCAAAATATATTCTGAATGTACTCTGAAAATTAATATATTACTAAATGTAAGAAAATATATTAAGAAAATGGAAAATACTGCTCATACATGAAAGGATACTTTTTTAAGAGAAGTATTATCCAAAAGCTACATATGAAAGTCAAGTCCATTTCATCTCTTAAATACAAAATATTTATATATGTAGGTTTTATTTCGGACATGCTTGTTGTCCGATTAGCCGAATTTTTTCAACGAACTTTTCCATTAATTTTATAAATGGACTTACCGTAGTGTGTATGGACGTTTGTTTTTTAATTCTTCACTTTGCAAATTAAATTTTTAGACAATTTTTAAATACTTCTTATGAGAATACTTCTTATGAGATTTCACAATTCGTTTTTCACAGTTTTTAGACAATTTTTAAATACTTCTTATGAGAATACTTCTTATGAGATTTCACAATGAAGAAATGTATTTTTTCCTAACCTCAAATCGTATTTAAATTATCTAAATTTTTCGCTCGCACAGAGTCGTTATTGAGGATTTAAATTATCTAAATTTTTCGCTCGCACAGAGTCGTATTTGAGGATTTGCATTATCTAAATTTTTCGCACGCACTGAGTCGTATTTGAGTATTTCAATTTTGTTTTGCATAAATTTAATTTTTTTAAACCAATGATAACATTTAAATAATACTCGAAAATTAGAAATCGTTTCTCAGTTTTTAAGTCATTTAAAAATGGACGAAAGGGGAACATCCAACGTTCCAATATAAAAGCACCAAAGCAATAATTGAATCATGGAATTCCCTTTTTTTGCAGCGCTGGGAAATGTAATATATAATCTTTTTTATATAAATGTATCAA